TTGTGGGTGTGTAGTGGTAGTTCATTGTGGTTTTAATTTGCATTTCCCTGATGACTAATGATGAGCCCTTTTCATGTGCTTTTTTAGAAAAAATAATTTCAAGGTAGTTCCTCTCCTCTTCATTGCCATGTAGTTCTCAACCCTCATGATTTGAAGGTCTGTTGAATACACAAAGAAGAGAAAAACTGATTGCAAAACTTACTAGAAATATAAAGAGCTTTACAAATATGAAAACAAGTATGTGCTCAGCCTGGAGACCCCACCCTTAAACTTGGTTGTACACTACTTGAGGGCTAAGGACAAGTTTGTCTTCAGAGAAGCTAAGATCATGGATAATTTGAGGGTGGATGTTTTAATGATAAATTTAATGTTAAACTTATTCCATTATCACTGCCATAATTTTTAAAGTACTTACTATAATCCAGGCTCCTTACATATAAACATCTAAGTTTCACAACAGCCCTGTAAGGTTGTTGTATGATCCCCACTTGATAGACACTGAACCTCAGAGATGTGAACTTATCTACCACCACAAGGCTCTGCTTGATGGGGTCCAGAGTCCGTGTGGCTCTCTGCCTCCAAAATCTCATTCACCAAGTTGCTGTCTCAAACACTCCATCCCAGAGTCTCTTCCTCGTTGATGAGCATAAACTTACCATTGTTGATTTAGTCTTTGGGTCATGAAGCCTCCAGTATCTAGGCCTGATTTTTTCTCCCCCACAGAAGCCCCTTGAGAATTCCAAGGAAGAAAGGGAGAAAACAGCAGAATGACTCAGAGAGTGGGCATGGGAGTCAGGCTGCCTGGTTTTAATTCCAGGCACATTCATGTTCTCATCTGTAAAATAGGGATGATAATGAGAACTGTTCTCATCTGTAAAATAGGGATGATAATGAGAACTGAATGAAATTCTGTGTGTCAAGTGCCTGGGCATATATAATGCATATTCACTTATGATTCTGTATTGTAGAGCAGGCCACTTTTCCCTACTGTTCACTCATGGACTTACTGCTACGGCCAAACACTCTTCTGGGTCGTGGAGATTCATCTGCAAAACAACAACAAAATCCCTTTTTTACATGAACCTCATATTCTTATTGAGGTGGAGGACAATAAAGTAAGTAAAATACAGAGCCTTGGAAGGAAGATTGAACAATCTACTTCCATAGTGAGATTGCCTCAGAAACCCAAGGAGGGGTCACTATGAATCAGATCCGACTCAAAAGCAGTGAGTTTGGTTTTTGGTTAGATAGTGGTAAGGACCAAGGGACAACTTAAGGGACAAAGGGTGGGAAGTGCTAGAGAAATCTTAAATTGAGTGACCAGAAGTTTCCCTAATGACCTGAAGGAAATTAGGTATATTAGTTTCCTAATCCTGCTGTAAATTAGCACAAATTTAGTGGCTTAAAACAATACAAATTTATTATCTTATAGCTCTGGAGGTCAGAGGTACATATGGCCCTCACTGGGCTAAAATCAAGGTGTGGCCAGGCTGTGTTCTTTCTGGGGACAACAAGGGAGAGCCCATTTCCTTGTCTTTTCCAGCTTCTGGAGGCTGTCTACATTCCTCAGCTCACAGCCATCACTCCAACTCCTCCTTTGACTCTGACTCTCCTGCCTCCTTCCTTCCCTTATATGGACCTGTGATTACACTGGGCCCACCAGGAAAATGTAATCACATCTGCAAAATCCCTTTTGCCATGCAAGGTAACGTATTCACAGGTTTTGGGGATTAGGACATGGATATCTTTGGGAGGCTATCATTCTGCCTACCACATAAGGCTTATCTATCTAGAAGTGGGAACATCAAATTCAAAGGCCCTGAGGCAAGGTTACCTGCCCAGGTTTAAGGACAATGGAGGCCAGTGAAGATGCAAAAGGAGGGGCAAAGGGGAACGTGGGACAGATGAAGTTAGGGAGATGAAGGAGGTCGAGCAGCTCTTGCAGCCTCTAAGGGTCCTAGGGAGCTTTGTGGCCTTTATCTGAGATGGGTGCAGGTGAGGGACATAATCACACAGGTTTTAACAGGATTCCTCCGGCTGCTGTGTTCAGAATAGACTAAGAAGGCAGGGGTGGAAGCCAAAGACACATGAGGAGGCTGCTGCAACATCCATGTGAGATGATGGTGGCTGGATCACATAGAGAGCAAAGCGGTGAGAAGAGGTCTCACTTTGAAATCTGAAGGTTGAGTTACAAGGAGCTACTTAAGGGTCAGATATAGAGTACAGCAGAGAGAAGGGACTCAAGGATGCCTCCAAGGTTTTTAGCCTGACCAACTAGAAGAATTATGATGCTCTTAAGATGGAGAAAACCCACAGGCTTGGGAATGGTGTTGTAAAGATCAGAAATTTTGGTTTTAAATGTTGGATACCCAAGTGGACATAGTGAGTACACAGGCAGATTTAGGAATCTGGAGTTTGGAGAGGCGTCTGGAGGGATCCATTTGGAAGGTATGAGCATAGAGGTGGTATTTAAAGCCACATGAGATCTCCAAGGGAATGTATGTAGGAACGAGAGAACTAAGGATTAAGACCTGTGGTCCTCTGAGGAGGAGTGATGGAGGAGGAAATCCTGGCAAGGATGAGGTCCTAGAAGCCGAGAGAGACAAGTGCAACGAACTATGTGGGGTGAGGGCCTGGTGGAGCAGCAAAGATTGCCCTGGCTTCTCTAGTGCTATTCTCTGGCAAACAGCCTTCTATGAGACAATTTAAGGGATTCAGGTCTACTGAGGGAGGCAGCCCTGCCCTGGGAACCAGAGGCTGTCTTCCCTCCAGGAAGCTAGAACAGGTCTGCTCTAGAGGTATGGTCCTCATTCTTCCTCTGGTCTTATCTTCTGTGGGACCTTTAAGATTCAGCTCAGACACCTCCCCTCTGCCAGGTGGCTGTACCGTGCCCCCTCAAGACGGAGCTGGGTGCCCCTCTGCTTAGCTTCCATAGCACCCACTGCTCACCCTTATTGAACAACTCCCCACACCAAACCTGTTTACACATCTCCCACTAAGTCAGGTGCACTGTAGGTTCCTAGGAAGGTTCCTGATCTCTACATCCACAGTGCCTAGCATGGTGCCTAGCGTAAGAGACTCTAAATGTGTGTGGACAGAACTAGTCAGCGGAAGCTCCTCCTCGTGCTGGTGTCTGTACTAGACTCTATTATGCATGGCTCCAGTCCCTAGACTTCCTCTCCTAAAATCTAAGGTGTTAGGAGATCTTTTAAAACCCCTCTGCTTCACTGCACCTACTGACACTCACTAAACCAGCTGCTGTTGAGTCGAGTCCAACTCATCGCAACCCCTGAGTGTCAGAACAGAACTGTGCTCCATAGATTTTCAGTGGTTGATTTATCAGCAGTAAATCACCAGATCTTTCTTCCAAGGCACCTCTGGGTTGATTCAAATGTCCAACCGTTCGATTAGCAATTGAGCATGTAAATTGTGTACACTACCCAGGGACTCCAAAGATACTGTTGTTGTTGTTGTTATGTGCCATTGAGTCGAACCCGACTCATAGCGACCCCTCCTTGGGTTTCCGAGGCAGGATCACTACGGAAGTAGATTGCCCCATCTTCCTTCTGACCAAAGATACTAGACACTGGCTAAATACCAAGGAAAAGGACCAGGCATTCTCAAGTAGTCTGGACTTCTGTATCCCATCCATAAAACAGAGACAATCCTCATCAGTTCTGACAACTGAGAAAGTATTTGGCAAACTGTAAACAAGTTGGCCAAATCTGAGTTATTGTAGGTTGGGGCTTTTTCCCAGCAGCTGATTTGGGGCATGTGACTGGCTCGGGGTGACCCACCCCAGGCCACGTGAGGCCTTCCACTGTATTGCTCTTGGTTCTCCTCAAGTCACTTGGAGGATGAGCAGTGTTTTCCTGAAGCAACAAAAACTTGTGTAATGAGTGGGGCCTGAACCCACTGGAAACTCTAACACATGCATGGATGTTCACAAATGTTTCCAGTGACTAAGGGCCACACGAAGCAATTGGTTTGACCTTCCTGAAAACTTGTCCCAGAGCAACTCACTCTGACAGAAGCTCCCTCTGCTATGGCCATCCTTGTACCCACAGCCCCACCTCCAGAGCAGGGACCTGGCTTCCCCTCTCCTTCACCAGCAGACAACAGGCAGGCAGGGTCAGCATGCAGTGCAGTTTATTGATACCTACTTCCCCAAATAACTTTTTCTCACTGGTCAAAAGATACAAGAACTAAAGGGAGGGGGATTATTGTACAGGTGGGAGCCAAAAGGCACAACTTAAAATGTGCTGTGACATGTTGAAAGGAGGTTGGTCTGAGATTGACAAGCCACCCTCCACCACCACCACTCCATTTCAAAGGCTTAGAAAGTCTCTGTCCAAGAAGCAAGCATTCATCCAGCAAAGCTCTTCCACCTGGTGGAGAAGCAGGAGTTGCCCTGGCCTAGGTCTTCTGCTGGCTTTCATGCTAGGCACCTTTCAGACCTGCTGCTGCAGGGAGCAGGATCACTGGCACTGCGATGGCCACACTTGACCTAGGCACACAGGTGAGGCCTGGCTGTGTCTGCACCGCAGAGACAAAGCTGGTGAGTCGCAGGAGGGCTGTGGAGCACAAATAATGGTGGCGCCTGCCAGCGGTAGATAGTGACTCCTGAAATATATATAAATCCATGTGTAAAGTCAGGTGCCTGAATAAAGTGTGGTGACTAAAGGGTGGACACAATGATTCATAAGAAAATCTAACTCTCTGAGCTGATCTGACTTCTGAACAAACCTAATTGTCTTTGCCTACAGTTTTATAGTCCCCTTTACTACAAACTGTCACAGAAGCAGAAGGAAGAGGAAGTGGTGGTCTGCCCAGCTGGGACCTGGGGCCCATCTTGACCATCCAGCTCTCTGTGGTCACAGGGCGTCCCAGGCCCCTCAGATCCTGAGTCTGGGCCGGAGAGTGGGAACCGGATATTGACTCCCAGGAGGGCTGCTCCCCCAGGCCCTCGCCTTCCCGCCCAGCTTCACAGGCCTCCTCTTCTACCGCTTCTTCTTGGTCTCCTTCTTGGGCCTCTTGCTTGCAGAAGGAGCAGTGGCCTTGGGCTTCCTTGTCACCTCAGCACTCCTGGGCTCAGATGGCTCTCCCTCCTGCACAGTGATAAAAGGAAAAGTCTGCTTAGATGAATCAAGCCCGACACCAGCAAAATGAGATCATGTCTGAAGGGACTTTGCAAACTGAAGCAAGCCACAGAAGCACAAGGGATGGAAACCATTATTATCAGGACCCAGGATCCACATGTATGTGGGACGGCCTTCAGGGAGCAAGGCAGATCTCAGCAAAGAATAAAGGAGGCCATATAGGGAGGAGGAAAATCCTCTCAGGCCTGAGTGGAATCTAGGCTCCTCCATTTACCAGCAGAGTAACCTTGTGGGCAACTTGTTTCTCCTTTCTGTGTCTCAGTTTACTAACCTGTGAACAGGAAAGAGCCACACACACCTGGAAGGGCTGATGTGAGAAGGCACAAACCCATGGAAAGCACCCAGTAAATGGCAGTTTCCCCCTGTGGCTGGCCAGGCACCCTGTGCCAGGGAGCTGGCACAATTTGGTTAAGGAGCTGCTGTTGGATGGCTCCACTGTGGCCCACTTCCTTACAGCTCTGCCATTCTCCTCCTCCCAGTCAGCCCACAGAACGCTAGGGCTGGGAGGGACCAAGAGAGAGAGCAACTACCTGGCAGGTGGGCAGTCACTGCACTGTGTTCTGGGGACCTGGTGGAGGTACCCCTGGGGGAGGAGGCAGAGGGCAGACTCAGCAGGACACCAGACTCTCCCTTCAACAGCAGCAGCTCGGTTTTGACATTGAGATTCGCTCCTTGTAAGAGTTGGTTTAAACAATGTTTCTTCTGCTAACAGCAGTTGAAAACCACGGATCCAGCCCTGGCCCTTATTCTGCAAATAAAGAAAGTGGACTCCAGAGAAGAAACATGGCCTGTCACAGGCCACTCAGGTTCATGCAGGGAAGAGTCTGGAACAGACTCACTTTGTTCCTATCCAGCGCTCCTTCCTCCTCTGGTAATAATTCAGTGAGCTGCCACCAGGAAGGGCATGAGAAGGCTGATGTGGCCCCAGAACACGCGTCTGGCTCATAGGCAGGCTTTATTTGGGCTGCGGTGTTTGTTTTTAAAAGGTGAGCCAATTGGGAGTGTTCCTTTTAGATTTACTGCTTCTCTTGAAGACTTTAAATATCCAATGACACTAGCTCCTCATTCCTTCGTGGCAGCAAGTGGCTGAGCAGGGGCTGTCCCTCAATAAAGTCAGGTGCCTACCTTCACCCCATGGCCTCCACCACCCCACTGTCACCTTGAGTAGGGAAATGTTTCCCAGTACCTGTGTCTTTGGGAGCCCTGGTGGCACAACAGTTAAGCACACAACTGCTAACTGAAAGGTTAGTGGTTTGAATCCACCTAGTGGCCCTGTCGGAGGAAGACCTAGAGATTTGCTTCTGTCAACATTATAGTCAGGCAAACCCTGTGGGGGAGTTCTACTCTGTACATGGGGTTGCTATGAGTCAGACTCAACTCAGGAGCATTCACTAACACCTGTGTATGAAAACTGGGAAAACAAAATGCAGACTAAGAATATTGGGAGGGAGCACACTACTTCTAGAAGAGAAAACCATTTCTTCATGTGTCATTTGCCAACCCCAGCTTCCAGCATGATCTACTTCCTAAACTTCCCTGAGGTTTGGTTTTGTTTGTTTAATAGGCCAACCATTCCCCGGACATTGTCAGCACAGGGGAGGATCCCCTCTGCCAAATGCACACACTAATTTCTCCATTGGGAAGGCTAATGTTGAAGGCATACCCAAAAAGACACAACGCGTGTAACAATCTTGGGAGCTTGAAACCAGACCTGCCATAGTACCTCCGCAGACGGCAGTCTGTCTGTGAGCACCCTTGGGCACACAGGCCTTAACAAGACCCAGTGACTTCTGCACATGGAACTTGCTAGAACCTGCCTAGATCTCTAGGGAATGAAGCCCACCTTCTGAGCTCAAAGCAGGGTGGTTCCTGTGGTTTAAATGGTGCCAATTCAGAATCCAGAGATGGTGACACCCAGCTTCCGTCCCAGTGCTTTCCTTACTCCACAAGTCATTTCTCAGACACCTCATCGTTCCCAGAACTCTAGAACAGACCTCTCCCATGAGCTCCAGCCACACAGATCCAGGTGTCGTCAGGTAACGGGCTGGCGGCCTCACAGTCCCTTCTCCTACAAGCCAGTCCTTTCTCCTAACCCCTTCTCCCCCAACAGGCACAGCAATCAGAGTATTAGTGACCCCACACTTCTTTCCTCCCCTTCATCCTATCAGTCACCAAGTCCTGATGACTTGACTTCCTCTTAAAAGAGTCCTGATAGCACAATGGTTAACCACTCAGCTGCTAATCAGAAGGTGGACAGTACAAACCCACCAGTCTCTCTGCAGAACAAAAGACCTGAGGATTTGCTCCCAGGGAAAAAGACCTAGATATCTGCTCTCGTAAAGATTACAGCCCAGGAAACATTATAGAAGTCCTACAGGGTCGCTATGAGTTGGATCAACTCAAAGGCACACAACAATAACCCCTTGAAAGAATGCTGGTGGCACTTAAGTGCTTAGCTGTAAACCAAAAGGTTGGCAGTTCAAATTTGGTGATCTGCTTCAGTAAAGATGACAGCCAAGAAAACCCTCAACAGCTCCTAACAGCAACTTCTTGACTCTCACTAGCATCAAGGTCCCCACCTCAGTTCTAGCCCCTGCTAACCCATCTCTCTTCTCTCTCCACCGCATCCCTTGTACAGCTGCCAAAGGAATTTTTCTAAAGTACAGATTCAACTGGACCACTGTACCCCTCACCTTAAACCCTCCAGAAGCTCTCCATCACCCATAGCCACACATGGAATGGCATCTGAGGAGGCCACCTCTCCAGCCTCATCTGGGCTCCTCCTACCCCCACAGTGGGTCAGGCCACGGCCTCGAAGCCTGTGCCAAGAGGAGCACCCTTCTTTCCCTGGCTACTCAGCAAACCCTTCCCATGGTTTGTTCAGCTCAAAAGCACACTCCTGCTCACTGTCCAGCCTTCTTCTCTGCTCCTCCACCTTCAGTATGGTGACCTCCTCCTCCAACATCCACCTCCACATACCCAGGAACCTTATATATAATGCTTCTGTCTTACCATAATTACATGTTTTCACATGAGCTCCGTGCACTCGTTGGCAAAGCTTCAATTATTGCTGGGTGAATGAATGAATGAGTGAAATGAAAAAACAGTCAAGTCTCCCAAAACCAAAGGAGCTTATTTATCATCACGAAAATACACCTCACTTTTTTCCTTGGGCACAGTGAATGTAAGCAGATTTTACACCCTAAAATATAGCTAGCTATAGATGTTAATGATGATGATGATGATGATGATGATAATGATAGCAATAATAACAATGCCTGCAACAGCTGCTAATATTATTTACAGTATGCCAGATCCTGCCATATTACATGTTCTGGACATACCATCATCTTATTGGAGCCTCACAAAGTGCCATAATCAGCCCCATTTTATGGACGAAGAAACAGACACTTAGAGAGGCTATGTGACTTGTGGATGAACTCAGCTGGTGTTTTTGTCCTCTAATACCACTCTAATAGAAAGATACCACAAGTGGATGGTTTGAACAAACATGGATTTACTCTCTTACAGTTTAGGAAGCTAGAAGTCTGAGTTCAAAGTGACAAACTGTAGGGGCTGGGTGAAGGCCCCTCAACCTTAGGCTTCAGCTCTGCCTCTTGCTCCTTGCCCACTGAAGCCGAAGGATTCTCTTAACTGAGGCAGCTGCTGATTGCAGAGGCTGACAAACCCAAGGTTGACAAGTAAAATGGCACAGTCCCAAAATTATCAAGCAGCATGGCAGGCCACTAGTTAGAGTCCAGAAACATCTCCAGGTCAGCAGACAACATGGCAGGCCACTGAGATGAAGACTTGGCCAAATGCAGGATCCAGATGTGCCAAAAAGCTAAGAGACCTTACTCAAAGCTGCTTCTTATATACTAGAAGCAGACTACATCCCTATGGTAGCTACTCAGCTCATCACGGGCAGTAACTACATCCAGATGCCCAGCCACTCAAAACCAGGCCCAGCCAAGTTGACACACAACCTTAAGTACCATACCTGGTGAGTGGCAAAGCCAGAATTTGAACCTAAACTTTCAACACATATATTCTATAGTCTCTCCCAGGTTTCCTGGGGACCTCAGGGCTAAGGAAGAACGTGTATCTGAGCCAACCGTAAAATCTACTCTCTCTCTGTCCAGCAGCCTCTGGAACCTGACTATAGAAAGACAAGAAGGGCTTGTTCCAGATTCTGTTGATGGCCATTCAGAGCCCCCATGTTTGTGACTGAAGTCCCCATGGAAGTCAGAGAAGTAGGCTAGTGCTCTAGTGCTTTATTTTTTATAGTTGAAATCAGCGCTCTGTGGGTGTGGATACATATTAGAGTCATCAAGTCATCTGAATGTATTCTCTGTCTCTCCACCCAGACCTCCTCCTTGTCCCCATCTCAATTTTTGGCATCGTCACTCATCCAGTTCCCCAAGCTAGAAACCACCGAGTCATTTCTGAGTTCTTGTCATTTTCTCATACTACCCATATTCAATCTTGCCCCCAGGCCCAGTCCATTCTCCTTTCCAGCGGGTGTTAGGCTCCACCCACCTCTTCCATAAGCACTCCACTGTGCTGATCGGACCCCCTGGTCTCCGACTTGCCCCCTCATGTGTCAGCCTTCCCCAGGTTTTCCTGCCCATCTCTCTTATTTCTCTCTTCTCATCATCCTCCACATTGCTTTCAGAGCCTATCTTCCTAAAACAATGACACAGTCCTGATCATGTCTGTTTTCTGCTTTAAAAATGTTGCTGGTTCTTTTGAATATAATGAATTCCAAGAGTCTCAGCGTGGCCTCCAGGGCCATTCCCACTTCAACCCAGGCCCCTCTCTGGGCACACCCTTCATGCAGCTTTCTCTGTCACTCTAGCTACAGACACTTTGCTCCCTTTCAACCTCTGTGTTGTAGGTGCTCAGCATTCATCACTTGCCATTTCTCACCCACACATGTAAGGTGATGT